ATATTGTACTGAAAGAATTTTTTATTGTAATACTATTCTTAAAACAATTTTATGTACATTCTAATCTAAGTGGCACTAAATATCTTAAATATTATCTATTTATACGCTTTTGCAAAATTACGGTTCCGAACGTAGTCGGATACCTTAAATATAGAAAAAAAACTGGAGTATCTAGGCATTTGTAATGGACGTCCCGTGCCATCCATGAGGGTGAGAGGGTCGGAAGGAAGATTAGACATTTTCAAAACAACTTCTATTTAATCACACTTATCAACAACAACACAAATTCAATAACTTAAGTTAAGAAATGCACCAGTTACCAAATATGTGAAGCAATAGCGAGGTAGACGAGGTATTAGAAGACTTTAACAATAAATCAGATCGCTTACGTTCAGGTAATACACTTTCTAATTCCAATCGATCTAATCCAATTTAATCACTAATTGACCAAATCGTCAATATTAGTGTAAAGTCTTTATTACTTTCTTAATTACTTCTCAAATCAATAATTACAAACATAATTAAATCAACTCCAACAATTATCTTGATTAAATATAATTATCTAATAAACACTACATGTAATGTCTCGCATTTACTTTCTTGCTATTGTAATATAATCAACTACTAGACAATTATCTTGTTTATCACTAGAATCAAACTACAATGCCCATCTTGTTAAAACACTCTCAAGAAACTCTATTCTTCTCTTTTACTCCAAACCACACCTGCGAGTCGATCTCCCCGAAGGAATTCAATTTCCTTCACCCCAACACAGTTTAGCGCTTCGCGCTTCCAAAAACAAGGGGGACTCTCTCCCTCTCTGACCGTATTCTCCCGGGTCAAGAAACCCTCTCTTCCAAAACACAGTAACCCTACCTCTGCATGTGGGGAAACATCGCCAACTCTTAAAAAATCTACCGCCAAACAGTACGCCAACGGTAGTCAGACACTACACTTAATATTACTCAAATAAGCTACGAAGTGCATACACTTAGCTTCACGATTAATCAATCACTGCTATCCGTTAGCGATCAAACCTCTCTCTCTCTCTAACTCAAAAGTTTAATCTTTATATACAAGTCTTGATTTACATAATCACATCTTCTTCGGAGGAGGAAAGTTTTCAATAGAATACTTTTTAAAGACCCATTGTTCCCCAAGAGGACTATTGTTGGAAAGAACACGGATAGACCCGTTACACATTAAATCAAAATTTCAGAAAAATGTGTCGCGAAATCTCGCCCGGGAAAGTGTGAAAATGCACCAAAGGAAGAGACATGATAACAATACAAACACTTTTATTATGACTATCAAATCACTATCTAAATTCGACCTAAGCTAGGGGAGGTGTCAGATTAATTCCTAACTTAAATATCTACCCTAATCAATTTAATACTTAGATTGACGATTAAATCCGCAGCAATGCTGTTCTCGTCCTAAATCAGTAGTCCCCGAACTCCTAACCGCGGACCGGCACCGGCTCGATCAAGGAACATTAAATTATTTCTATTTTATTTACTGTGGTGTATTTCTCTCGGGTTTGTGCGACTTTCCATGGAAATCACTTTATACTCCATGTTAAACTCATTTTTCAATTCCTACTATTAGTTCACTCTCTCCCTATCCAGGAATATCCAGGAATGTGCTATTGTACTACTGTGGCTAATATTTCCTACTACCGTAGAACGTCGTTTATCCGAATCAATTGGGACCGGACACCGTTCGGATATGCGATTGCTCGGATAACCGAAAACCGAATGCGGTCCATGTGGTATATGAAACCGGACACTATACGAATATTGAAAATCATCACATGCGAGAAACGTGCTTGAAGAAAAAGCAAAATAGGTGCAAAATATCACAATTTTACCTTTATTGTGGAAAATAATCTCTTATTTTTCGCTGTACCATTGTACACCTTCGTTTTTTCGCTGAGGTGGTTTGTACGTGCAGATATACACCCCTCGCTTGGAAACAAACTGACCTAATATTCCGCGCAGATGTTTACCAAATCACATAACTGAAATTCCCCAAATATTCCTGACCTTGGCCCCGTCACTTTTGGCCTCGCGCGAAACAACTGTTGAGAATTGTACTGTTCATATATAGTACATGCAGTTGACAAAAAAAAAAAAAAAACTGGTCCGGATAGTAAACGTTTGGATAAGCGACGTTCTACTGTATCGTGACTAGTTATATATAAGTTTTATAGCTATTTGTATATATTTATGGATTATATATACTTTTATTTATGTGTGGATGCATTGCGCCTAAACATAGAGGAATTTTATGAATCACTTGTTTTTTCATTATAATAAGCACAATTTAGCTTATAGCCTAATTCTGAATTCTTAATAGATTCTAATTTTGGCTATTGTAAATAATCTTACTTTTTACTATATTTTATTATCTATCAAAAGTTAAAAATTAATACTTTGCTTTTTACTATTCAAGACATGTTTTACTTAATTTTATTCCTTTTTCAGTATAATCAAGATTTTTTGCATTGGTTTTTTTATTTTTTATATTATTAGTAGGCTATAATTTTATCGTTATATTTTAATAGTGTAGTGTATTTTAGTTGTAATATTTAAATTTCTTCTAATATTATTCCTTCCTTTTCATAGGGATCAGAGTATAGGCAAATTACAGGTGACGGTTGGCTAGCCTCAAAGGTTTGTTTAAACCTGCAATCTTGGTTCCTAAGGCCAGAAGTTTGCTATTGTACTATTGTGGATAATATTTTCTACTGTCTTGACTAATTATACTTAGATTTTATAGCTATTTGAATATATATATATATACATATATATATATAGAGAGAGAGAGATACCTTGTTCAAATTTTCAACCGTTAATAAAGTGATTACCATCCATTCAAGCTCAAATACATATTTTAAACTTGTATTGGATGACTCTTGATGTGTTAAAGCCTTTTTTCAAATATTTTAATTCATTAATTAAATTAAAAAATGAATAAATAGTAACAAACAAAAATAATAGTCCAACATATATAGAAAGGAAAATCGTTCGTTGTGACCCTGTAGCGCAATAGATAGCGCGTTGGACTTCTCATCCAAAGGTCATGGATTCGAATCCCAACTGAGATGGCCTTATTTCTGAGAATAGGATTTCTTTTTTATTGGAATAATTAAACTTAATTAATGAATAAATAGTAACAAACAAACAAAAAAATAGTCCAACACCCTATATTGAAAGGAAAATGGAAAATTGCAAGGAAAATCGCTTTCTATTTTGTCACTTAATATTGTGATTCCGTCATATGTCACAACATATTTAAATTAATTGTGACTATTTAATAAAAAGTAAATAAAATTAAAATTTTCTTTGTTGACCTAAGTAGGAACCGACTTAATTTTCTTTTTATATATTACTTGTTTTATGTAACTGTATTTTGTGTGTTCTGAAGACATATTAAAATACAATTAAATTAAAATTATTAAATCAAAACAATCCACATCCCCTCTCCACTCCCTCAGTGGGTAGCGTTAAAATAATCAAAAGTTGACCGGTCTGCAGCGATAAAAAGGTTGGAAAACACTGTCCTATATGACTCAAATGAATGAACTTAAAATATGAAATGCGACAGCAAATAATTTCAATAACATAAACTTCAACAGTTTGTATAAAAAAATGCAAGCCCATCCCAGTTACTAAATGTAAGGCATGGTTTTGGTGACACCTGGAGAACAAATCATTATTATTAATGAGTAAATTGTGCATTAAAGTCATACTAATTTTTTTAATAAGAAATACAATACTTTTTACAATACATAAGGACTTATAACACGCGTTGATCGACACTAAATACTAAAAACACCTTAGAATTCTTACGATTCCGTAAATCCTAAAATGTTTTAAGACCACTGCTTTAAAAAAGAAGACTTTATCAAAGATTAAATAAGCTTCCAGTAAGTCCATTAGAAAAAAAATTTAATAAAAGTCAATTTACGTAAACCAGTTTTATCCTTATTTTATGTTAAAGTAACACTTGAATTAAACTAAGGGGAGGAGGGGGGTGGGTGTATTTTTATTTAAAAAAAAAAAAAAAAAAACAGGCAATACATTAATTCCATTTACGGTAAAACATCTTACATTTGATCTCTCTTATGCCATGCATTTAATCAGATAATTTGTTTTTAAAAATTCTTCAAGGTTCTTATGCTAAAAGCCACGAAAATATTTCTTAAAATGTTCTTCGAGAGGATCATTTTACTTTTTTTTTATGTGTGTGACTTATCAGCTTTCACGAACCTTCATTCTAATTTCCGTCCATTAACTAATGGGAAAACGGGGCTAATTTGTTCCTTTTATATATATTTCGAACAATTTTATCAGAGCGTAACACAATTCCTGCTTGTAATTTTCAGTCGATCCCCTTTAGTATGTTATTACAAGTCCCGTCACCTATCCAGTGCGATATTTATAGCCAAGTTTTTCGTGCAGACAGCGCCTCTCTCGTAAAAATGGCTTCAATAAAACTCGGACATCATTCCTGCTGGGAAGAAAATTCAATTACGAGATTCTACAAAGTCTTACTAAAAATTTTTTTAAAAATACTCGAGGTAATTTTTCTTAGCATGAAACATTGATATAATGCTTTCCTCTGTATTTCTGTCAGAGATGTGGAGTGCTCTATATTTATCACTACAGAATAATCATTGGTAAAAAAAATGAAGGTTGCGAGAGTTGGTTCAAGAAGTGTGTGCTTTTTTCTTTTTTTAAGGTATCCGACTACGTTCGAAACCGCTATTTTAAAAAGGCGCATAAATGGATAATTTTCATGATATTTAGCGTCACTTAGATCAGAATACATGTATAAAATTGTTTTAAGGACATTTTGACAAAAAAAAATTATTTAAGTACAATATTTCGGCAAAAAATTAACATAGAATAACCTTTTTCAAAATGTTCTCCTTTTGTGAAAAATGCTTCTATTATAATAATATTTTGTGCCTGTATATAGCTCAGACCTCTGTACAGAAGCTAAACTATGATTTTTGAAAAATTCACATTATTTTCAGAGTTACAACCCATTGAAATAATTATTGGCGTTTTTTTTCTTAAAATTTCTCCCCTCTGTTGTCGTAAAACGTGGATAAACCCACTTTTAAGTTATATATTTCAAAAATTCTAGTTGAGCCTCTGTTCAGAGGTCTGAGCTTTGTACAGGCAAAATATTATTACACAATAGAAGCATTTTTCACAAAAGGAGAATGTTTTGAAAATGGGTCATTCTATGTTCGTTTTTTGTCAAAATATTGTACTTGAATAATTTTTTAGTGCAATAATATTCTTAAAACAATTTTATATGCGTTTTCTAATCTAAGTGACACTAAATATCATAAATATTATCCATTTATACGCTTTTGCAGAATCACGGTTCCGAACGCAGTCGGGCAGTGTTCCGCAACCCCCGGTCCGTAGATCAAATGCTACCGGTCCGCACAAGAAACATTAAATTATTTCTCATTTATTTACTGTGGTGTATTTTTTTTAGATTTGGGCTACTTTTTATGAAAATCACTTAATATTTATTCCTTGCTAAATCACTTTATATTCATTTTTTGGTGAATTTTTTTTTATTCTGAGAAGTTGATAGAAACTGAAATATATTTTGAAATAAGTGTTCACAATAGTAAGTCTCTTGGAAACAATGAACATTTTCAAGCACGTTAAACTAAACCGTCTTTGACGCAAGCATATCACACTAGACTATATAAGTTATCGATATTTATTTACCTGTACGCCAGCTTATTCCGTTAAAAGTTTTTTTGTCTTATAAAATGAAACTACTATATATATCAGTAGTATAACGTAGTATTACAGATCAGTATTATACATCAGTAGTATTATAAAGAAACCATATGAGTTCATATACAAGATTCAATCATTACTTAAATAATAAAACATTTCAGATTATTAATTGCATCGTTGGAAAAACGTGCTTGCCATACAATGTAATCATGCACAAATTAATGTCTTTTAAGTGAATGTGTACTCTGAATATCAAAATTTCACTTATATACGTAGTGTATATATAATGGAGGTAAAAACACAAGTTCTTGGGATTATATAAAGTTATATCTTTAAAAAATGATCTGTACAAAATATATATTACATGATTATGCAATACAAATTTGTGCAAAAGAATAGTCATGTTGAAATCCATAAAAAATGTTAGGAAATGTTTGCAAATATATATATATCCTATACATATATGGGAGATCTATTATTAAAAAATATTAAATTCGAATAGCAACGAGACCAGTAGAACCTCTTTTTGTGCGGCTCTTTTTTATGCGATTTTATTTTTGTGCGACGGCATAAAAAAAAATTCTGCAGTATTTCGACGAAAATTGGCTTGTTATATGTAAGAATTCATGAAATTGTCGAATATATTTTTGTGCGTTTATTTTTATGCGGTTTTTATCAACCGCACAAAAACAGGTTCAACTGTATATACACGCATATTAACACACACACGTATACACGTGTAATATATCCATTATTTCTCATAGGATTTTACTCAGTATTAAAAACTGAAAGGGAGGAGGTTGTCTAGCTTTTAAAAAAAATTTGTTAAACACCGTTTTTATATATATTTAAAAGCATGTTTATAATACTGCAGAATCCATCTCTTAAAGTTTCGGAAACCTTTATGGTACTTTCTGCTGGCCCTTATTTTTCAATGAAACAACAATTCATTGTGTTGTATTCTAAGTCAACGCGAAGGCTATTGACGAAAACGGGTTGCGCTGGCAACCCATTTTCGGGACTTTTACATCACATCAACGTAAGGACTTTGATGCAAGATGTATTTAAAGTGCATCAGAGCCTCTCTACAAGCGAGTCTTCAGTGTCACTTGAACTCGAACTCACGATTCACCGGTAAAGAGTTCGTGACCATAGCCACTCGGTAACTCTTTATATATAAACACTCATGGACAAAGAAATTAGCGCACCAAGAAGGAGTCGTCAAAATAAAACGACATTTTACATACGTAATGACTACTTTGATATAAGTAAATGATTAGAAAGTCAAAGAAAATGGATCATTTATTTCAGAGAAAAAATCAAAAGAACGGAGGATTTAATACCCTGTTGAACCCCGTCTATATATAACGCGAATGCACGATGCGATATGATCAGGCATTGAGGCGTACAAGTTCTGTATGATGTCTTGAAACATTTCGTTTCATATTTGCTGTAGCCTTGCCTCTAGTTCGTTCAAACTCGTGGAATCCCCGACTCGGTGTCTCAAATGATCCTAGATATGCTCGATTGGAGACAAATCTGGGGATCGGGCAGGCCAAGGAAGGGTAGTAACCGTGCGGAAATAGTCTTGTGACACCCTTGCCGTGGGAGGCCGAACATTGTCTTGTTGAAAAATGGCTTTTGGGAGCCGTTGCATGAGTGGCAACACATGTGGTTGCAGGATGTCATGGACATGTTGTCATGGGACGGGTTGTCATGGTGCCACGGATCAATACTAGGGGTAACCGTGTATTGTAGGCAATGGCAATGGCAATCCATACCATCACATCAGATGTAGGAGCGGTGTGTTGCTGTAAAGCAAAGGCAGTAGTGAGACGTTCACCACATGGTCTCCACACGTGAACACGATTGTCATAACTGCTGAGATTGAATCTGAATTCGTCGCTAAAGACGATCTGGTTCAATTTCGCTGCAGTCCAGATTCCTCGCGCGTGGCACCAAACGGAGGCGTCGATGTGTGGGCGTCAAGGGCACCACACGTAATGGGCTCCGCAATCCCATATGTTCTTCAGCCAGGCGCCTTCGTATGGTTCGAGAAGACATAGGGGCCCCTAGTGAAGGGTGCTACCTGTGCCTGGATGGCGGCCGGTGAAGCAGTTGGCCGTACGTGTGCATTTCTTACGATGTTTCGGTCTTCTCGGCGACTGGTCTGTCCAGGGCGTCCTGAGCCTGGTCTTCGTGTAAATGACATCTCTCGGATCCAATGGTCCCAACACCTCCTCACAAAACAATCAGAGCTGCCTAATTGACGAGATACTCGCCTAACTGACCACCTACCTTCCATCATGCCGATGATTCTCCCCCTCTCAAACTGC